TATATATATATATATATATATATATATATATATATATATATATATATATATATATATATATATATTACCTCAATGCCCGCAGCAGCGCAGCTTTTATCTTAACATAAATAAATAAATAAACAAACAAACAAAAATATAAATAAACAAACAAACAAAAATAAAAACAAACAAATAAAAAAATAAATAAAAAAATATTACCTCAATGCCCGCAGCAGCGCTGTCTTTATCTTAATATAAATAAATAAACACAAATATAAATAAATAAATAAACAAACAAAAAAAAATAAAAAAAAAAATAAAAATATATTACCTCAATGCCCGCAGCAGCGCAGTCTTAATAAAAATACAAATAAATAAATAAATAAACAAAAATATAAACAAACAAACAAAAATAAAAACAAACAAATAAAATAAATAAATAAAATATATTACCTCAATGCCCGCAGCAGCGCTGTCTTTATCTTAATATAAATAAACAAACAAATAAACAAAAATATAAATAAATAAACAGACAAACAAAAATAAAAATAAATAAATAAATAAATAAACAAACAAACAAACAAATAAAAAAAAAAATAAATAAATAAAAAAATATATTACCTCAATGCCCGCAGCAGCGCTGTCTTTATCTTAACGGGGAGCTGATCGGAGACACAGCGAATGAGGGGCCCCGTAATTTTAATTGCGAGGGTTTTTAGCTGCTGCTGCTGCGCATGCAGCAGCAGCAGCTCTAGGCTTCTTGCTGCTACTTCTCTGCTGCGAGGGTTTAGAGATAAACAACCTGCAAGCAATGCTGTTGCTAGGCTGCTGCTGCTGCTGCTGCTGCTGCTGCTTATGCTGCTTAGATTACAGCTTGCTGCTGCAGGACAACCAATAGGGATCACACCCTCACGTACGCAACAATCCAGCAGCAAACTACCGCTGCTGCTGCTGCTGCTGCTGCTGCTGCTGCTGCTGCTGCTGCTGCTGAGGCCAGGCAGCAGCAGCACATCTCCCCCCACTGGCCGCTTCGTTAGAGGGTCCGCTACTAGCCGGAACAAACCCTGATACAGCTGAACGCAGCAGCAGCAGCAG